ACGGAGGTTTAAACTCTAATCTTTCGCAAATCTCCTATCTTTACACCTTAATAGCTTGTCTTTGATATTTCACTATAAAGTAAACGACATATAGAGGTCAACTCTTAGAGTTTTCAATTCAATCCATTAATCTTTCTCTAAGGAGCAGCTGTCCTAATTGAAGAATGGAATTTTCTCGACAGCCTCTGATGCATTCCTTAGTTTCTCTCTTTTAGTTTTCTTTTTTACCAGTACAAGCCCGCATGCATCAACTATTCACAGATAATAAGCACCCTCCTTCTCTGGTTTGCATCAGATAGACTTCAAGGAGTTAGGTAACTCCTTTGCATTCAATCATCATTATTTCTAAATCAACCCGCCTTTATCCTCCACAGAATAAAACAGATTAGTGGCCGATCAAAACAAATCTATGAAACAGTTATAATATGGCTGAACATTAAGAGTTGATAGGAAAATCTAAGTTAGGATTGACATTTATATAATTAAATAGATATTGAACATCTAGTGCTTCTATATAAAGAAATTCACGAACAAAAACAATATGAAATCTATGTAAAAATTTCTGAGCCAGAAAGACTGACACTCACGTCTCTCTCATTTCTAGTGATTTTGCCAAATGCAAATGTAGAACGAAGGAAACTTACACGTTAAAATCTCACTAAAGAAGCAGTAAAATGCCACTAGGGAGAAAAGAAGCACTTCATCTTCTCATGACTTGCTGCAGCACAATGAAAGATCCAGTGCAGAAAGGTACGTGAAGCCTACACATTAGTTTCAGAAAACTTGGAGTTGATTTTGTACTGTAAAATTCAAAAACTTAAGACGCTTATCGGCTCTTTAACTTTTGCAGGTCCAACAGCTGCTCAAGTGACACCAAAGACCACCTGTCCTCTACTTGTGCAAATACCTTCTGATTGAGAGAATCTATAATAATGCTGATTTTACCAAAACCATATATCTGATGACCATCTTGCATTCGCCCGGGCTTAAGCTGGAACAACAAATCATTCTGTTGTGCATAAACTTCAATAACTCTTTTCAAGTTCATCTCATCCCCGCCACCTGTACCGTCCATTTGGATTCCACTGTTCGAGCCCACAGAAGGACGGGATTGAAATTGCGCTGCTGCTTTTTTCTGAGTCTCAAACTGCCTTTGTTCAAGAACCCTAATATAACTTATGTTCTCCCTCAAACCAGGTTCAGCCACCTCTGAGCCTTCAACAGCCTGGTTCATCATGTC